TATTGTCACACTAATGTAAGTGGATATTGTTGGGATATCTCAAAGAGAAATTTCATCAAATTATTTACTAAAAGGTTGCATGATGATTTTTTGGGATAAACTGACGATAGATAGCTAATTATTTACATATAATATCAGATCTAGATTTATTAAACTTTTGGTAAAAACTAAAAAATAGGACAGAACCCTAACAAACTACAATAAATATATTTAAGGTTATAATCATATCCATGAAATATTTTTATATTTCACTACTTCTTTCACACAAGTACAATGAAATAGTATCTTAAACAGTGTCATTGCCTTGAATCCACGGATTTTAAATAATTTTTCAAACTTAAAAAAATGTTAAAAGTTTACATTTAGTAAGAAAATTTCATTTAATTTCCTTGAAAACATATAATTTAAATAATGTTAGTTTTTAAAAATTATTATTTATATTTTTTTCGCCACTCTCCGTTACCTTCTACAATTGTCTGTATTAGATATTGTTTTTTTCTCCGCTTTCCAACTATATATTATACGCATACCTTTTGACTATTATTTCCAGATATTCATTTTTGGTCTGGATCTGTATTTTCTTTTTTTCTCCCATATTCAATTATCGAATGCTTTCAAACGTTATATTTTTTATAACTCCTAACAATGAGAAATAGCTATTATTTATAATGAACCAAATTAAAGGTACTTTACAAGAAAACATGTTAATGTTGAGTTTCACCAAGAGAAAATTCATCAAATTATTCACTAATTTAATTTTCTAAAAAGTTAGATGACAATATTTCGAAATAAACAGACGTTGATACCTAATTATTTAAATATAATATCAGATCTAGAATGATTACATTACAGTAAATGTATTTAAGGTTATAAACATATGCTTTATACATCCATGAAATGATTTTATATTTTACTTCTTCTTTTTTTAGATCTGGCCCAATCCAGATACCTATCCTTCCATAATAAACTTCAGAATTATCCCAACCCTCTCTTTTCTAACCTTGTTTTCTCTTCAATTTCTGATAACCTTCTGAGGCGTCTGAAAAGAAGATGGCCCCGTGATCTAGTAATGTAGACATATCATTAGAGTGCTCAGCAAGTGTTTTCATGTCATTATATCCATTATGTTCAAATTTACTAGATGTATTTATTCAATACAGTTGTAAATATCATAAAGAAATAATAAAATAAAAAAAACTTCTTCTTTTGCACAAGTACAATGTAATAGTTTTTTAAACAATGTCGTTGCCTTGATTAAGTGGGTTTTGTATACTTTTTTCAAACTTATAGTTTACATTTAATAGGTAAATTTCATTTAATTTCCTTAAAACATGTAATTTACGTTAAAAATTATTAGTTTTCAAAAATTATTATTTATAATATTTTGCTACCCTCCTTTACCTTCTACTCCTTTCTATTTTAGATATTGTTTTTTCTAAAATTCTCCGTTTTCCAACGATATATTATACGTATACCTGGAGATACTGACTCGTAAACATTTTCTCGATCACAATACTTACCCTTAATATATATTACATATATATATAACTGGAAACTTATTTAAAAGAACATGACATAAACATAGCTTTGATTACTGAAACTCATTTAACAGACAAACAAACATTCAAGCTACAAGATTACGAAACTTACAGAACTAACCATCCAAACCACACAGCACATGGAGGAACTGCAATAATTGTGGACAAAGCTTTAAATCACCATATTATTTCTGCTGTTTCTACAGATTCCCTACAATACACCAATATTTCCCTGAACTCCTCAAAATTCCAACTCACGATTGCCTCAGTCTATATAGCCCCCAATAAAGTTATATCCACGAATGAATTAAAGACTATTTTCTCGACAATAGGAAAATATTCATTGTTAAACTCTCCAGTTTAACGCTAAAAACACAAGGTGGGGCTCTAGAGTGTCCAATACTCGTGGAAAAAGACTACACAAATGTATCGAAGATTTCAAATTTTCTGTAATTTCGCCATCTCAACCTACTTACTGGCCTACTTCACTATCAAAGTCTCCCGATCTTCTTGATTTCTTTGTCACAAACTCCTTACCACATGCACATTCCAACGTTTTCTCTCTCATTGACCTTTCATCTGATCATAGCCCAATTCTACTTGAACTTTCGAACAACCCTTTCGTTAAACCCAAACCCCCGACATTAATTAACGGTTACATAAACTGGGACGACTTTAAATATTTTTTGAACAACAAAACTACGTTAAACACTTTAATTAGTACCTCGACAATGCCGTCAACGACCTAACAAAAAGTATACAAGAGGCTATTTGGCATTCATCGAGACCACCAAAGACATATACTAAACCAGCTTCTTACCTACCTCAGCCAATACATAGTCTTATAAAAGAAAAACGTAGTATTAGAGCCCTGTGGCAAAGAACTAGATATCCATCATACAAAACAGAACTCAATAAACTAACTAGAAAACTTCACGAAAAACTATTAAAAATTAAAAATGACAGCTATAAAGACTATATAGACACAATAAACAATAGAAATGGATCAATAAGGGCAACAACAAGACGTATACTAAAGAAAAAAGACCTTCAATACCCTCTCCGAAGTACAGACAACACCTGGGCAATAACTAGCGAAGAAAAAGCCAATGAATTCGCTAAATATCTTGCGCAAGTATTTGGGACTAACACAATACAGGACAACAATCTTACTAACTCAATAGAAGAAGAATTGACAACACCACTACCCTTATCACTACCCCCACCGGCATTTCATCCAAAAGAAATTTACAAAGAAACCAACAGACTACCAAACAAAAAAGCTCCTGGCTTTGATATAATCACTACCTTTATTCTAAGACACCTACCTCGAAAATCTGTTTTCTTTCTTACACACATCTATAACTCCATTTTACGCACTACCTATTTTCCTCTCCTTTGGAAACCCTCCACAGTCAAAATGATTCCCAAACCTTCAAAACATACCACTTCTCCTTCATCCTATCGTCCTATAGCACTTCTTCCAATAATGGGCAAACTATTTGAAAAACTATTACTAAACCTTCTAAAACCTATTCTAGAATATAGTGAAGTGATACCAAATCATTAGTTTGGCTTTCGCTGTTATCACTCTACTGTGCAACAGTGCTATCGGATAGTAGATGCTATCTCTGTGACTTTTGAAACAAAGGAATATTGCTCTGCCGTCTTTCTCGACATAGAGAAAGCATTTGATAGTGTCTGGCCTATTATGGAAACTGAAACCGCACTTACCTTCCACTTATTTTTTAATTCTTCAATCATACTTTCTTAATAGATTTTTCTGTACTTTCGTAGATTCTTCTGTTTCTTCCTTCTTTCCCCAACACAAAGGTGTACCACAAAGTAGCGTCTTAAGCCCAATCCTCTATTCTATATACACTTCTGATATCCCTCAGCACCCTAATACCACCCAATTATTGCTTCGCTGACGACACTGCTATTCTAACTTCACACAAAAATCCTACTATCGCATCAATTGCCCTACAAAACCAGCTTCATGATCTTGAAAAGTGGTTTGAAAACTGGAGAATCAAAATTAATAGTTAAGAATCCACCCACGTTAGTTTCTTTCTTAGGAAAGCTCCATGTCCATCCATAACGATTGCCAATAATCCAGTGCCTTTAAAGAACTATGTATGGTACCTTGGACTCTACTTAGCAAAAGACTTGGAACATACATAAGAAATTAAAAAGAGAAGAACTTACTAGACGATACAGCCAACTTTCACATCTTCTAGACTACAGATCTTCATTTAACTTACGAAACAAGCGACTGATCTACAACACCTTACTGAGACCACTATGGACATACGGAGCAGAACTTTGGGGTTCAGCAAAACAAACACACATAAACAAAATACAAACAGCACAATAAAAAATTTTACGAAAAATTGTTAACGCACCTTGGTACATTTCAAATACTACTATGGTACATTTCAAACACCCCAACAGTAAAATCCTACATACACGACAAATACACTACATTTCATTCTTCAACCCAAAATCCCTCCAATCCTCTGGTTCTTTCTATCTCCTGTTCCCTGTTACCTGAACAACGCAGATTAAAAAGAAAATACTATTTTAAATACGGTTTAAAAAGAAAATGGCCAAGAGACCTACTATACCAATAAAAACTATATCAAGCAAATACACAAAGAAAATAGAAATACAACAAATTTGCTAGATGCGCAGCCGCGCAGGTGCAAATTGCATAAAATATAAATAAATAAAAAAAAATTTTAAAAATTTAAAAATTATTTTGAAGTTGGAAATAAAATCATATATAATACACATACTCGAGGCAATGGAATTGTTAGAAAAACATTTTATATCAGTTGTGCTAAAGAATTTGGAATATTGAAATATTTCATAGATGAGTAAAACGTATGATTATAACCTTAAATACATTTATCGAAGTATAATAATTTTAGATCCGATAATATATTTAAATAATTAGGTATAAATCATAGATTTATTCTAAAAAAGCATTAAGTAACATTTTAGAAAATTAAACTGGTGAATTCCCTGTGTGAAATCGCATTATACAGTTATAATTCTATGGTCTCTGGCACTGGCGGATTCAGGATTTAATTTTGAGGGGCTTCAGCCCGAAAGGTTTTTTTTTTCATATATATATATATATATATATATATATATATATATATATATATATATATATATATATATATATATATATATATACATATATATAAAACAATAATCAATCTAAAAAAAAAAAAAATCAACTATCTATGTGAAATAGTGTTAAGTGATTCTTGAAGTCCTAGTAAATGTAATTACACCAACAATAATACTTTAAGAGATATTTTTAAATATTGTTTCTATAAAATATGGTCATATTTTACCATTTTGGGGAGGCTTCGGCCCGAAAGCTCTTCCTCCCTCCATTTGTGTGACGATTTTGACTCATCGATGGTGTATTTAAAAGATCCTAACTGTATTTTGGTAAATTTTCCAAGAGAAAAAAATAATAATGTAAAAAAAAACGTAAAAAGTGATAGAGATTTAATTCCTATAATTTTTACCATGTAATGTAATTTCAAATCTATCTTTGTACATAAAGTTCAGAGACTGAAGTTATTTGATTCGCATCGACTGATAAAAGTTATAACGTTTTTATTGTCTGAAATGGACAAAATAAACTCGGGTTGTGTTATTTTAATGATTGTATTGAGTTTTTGCATTGACAAAAATGACCGAAATTCACTAATATATTCTTTAGGATTTAGCTCTATTAAAAATTTGCTTCAAAAACTGTAATAGCCCAAATTTACCAGACAAGAATTTCTGTTCATAGTACAGCGGTAAGTAAAAGTTGTGTGATGCATACGCCAGATTTTTCTTCTATAAAACTTTTATTTGAAAAGCTACGACGGTAAGAGTTGTAGTTCTAAAACAACAGAGAAAAAATTAAAAATAGATATTCCATTCTTAACGAAACTGATTAAAAATTACTTTGAAGCCTTGATTTTATTTTTGTTTGGGTATGTATGTGTGTGGGTGAGTAAGTTTGTATCGTAGGATTAAATTAATATAATATGGTCTGATCGTAATTCTTGGTTGCCAACTAAAACTCACATGAAAGACCATTTCCGAGCACTAGATTACATGATATTAAAATTATTTAAAAAAAGAAATAATCGAAAAATATTTTAGATTAAAAATTTAGAAGCTCTAGGTGTTATATTAAATAATCTTTCCAACAACGTTTCATCAATCTTATGATTTTAAATAGTTTTAAAAAGCGCTATTGATAATATTTTTTCCATCTTTGCCCAGCCTCACTCCATCATATCATTTGCCTGTTTTCAGTTTGATCACCTGTTTTTTTCTTTCTCGTTGCTTATAGATGAAAGTGATTGACATTCTGTTGAGTTGGTATCAGGACCATCCTTATAAAACAGACTGTTAAAGTTCATGAATTTTAAAATAGAAACCATTAATGTTTTTATTGTTTGATCAATTCGATCCGTTGGTATCTCGTGAGTTCTATCCTCTCCGATATCATCCATTATCGTTTCTTTTTCTGTTTTGCTGTCTTCTAAAATATCTGAGGGAGAAGCTATCCTAAAGATTGTTTCTATAACCCAATTCATCGATTCTAATACCAGCAGCAAAAGTTTTGTTACAAGTTTGCTTATTTCTTTTTTGTACCTTTTAGCTTTCGGATCAGTACTGATATCTACCATGTATTTCACAAGACTGTGGGCCATTGAAATAAACATTTTATTAAGAGGGGATGGTAAACGACTTTCAACATATTTATGGTGTACATATGACATATTGCTATGCTGGAGGGAATTTTTAAAATGTTCTTCAGTTATTTCATCCGGTTTTGTACTTTTATCCTTTAAATCAACTGTTGTTTTTTCGGGGCTAGAAAACATATTCCCTAACTCCTTTATCTCTTCAAGCAGCTTCCTAAAGTACCTAAGTTGTTTGTTCGGTCTTTTTAGTTGTGTTCCCATCGTCGTGGTATTTGCTTGTAATGCATCAAGAGTTATAGGACCGATGTAGCTCTCTAACTCGCTTAAAATCTTCATACATTCCAAATCAGGATGTACAGCTTTAGCAAATTTTATGAACTTGATTGCTGCATTCAGCCTGCTCTCTTTAGTTAAAAAATTGTAGTGTCTTGGGTATCGATTTCCAAGGAATTGGAACCTATGGAGCGGATCTTTTCCCTCCTCGGTCGGAGATTCTCGTTTAAACCAATTGACCAAATAATGCTTTATAAGTTGTTCCGGTTTTGGTTTCGGAATCGGTGTGTTACCTTTTACAGGACTCAAAAACAATGTTTCAGAAGATTTTTTTGTTTCTGAGAAATTCGGAAAATTATTAACAACTTCATCCCATTCCCAAATTTCTTTGGAATGCATAACGTTTTTCGTATGTCCGTGTTTATCGTATGAACCGTATGAATGTTTATTATCTTTCATTCGATGGATTTTATACAATTCTTTGTCTGTGAAAAGGTCATCATCGTCGATATTAAACACTGACACAACATATCCATTCCTAATTGCGTCTCTCGATTTTTTAATCTTAGCATATTTTTCGTCATATTTTGGTTTAGATTTCATATCTCCCGTCCTTGGTATTTTTATAAATAATTTATCCAGTAGTTTTTGTTTATATTTACTAAGATATCGTTTGCATACTTTGTTATCAGGAATAAGTTTGGTGGGCAACTTTATTTCTTGAAGCTTTTCATCTTTTGGTTCTTTTTCTGTTGGACTCTCTCCAATTGTCTTAAAAATTTTAGGTGTTTTGAAGTACATTTCCCTTAGGCCTGTTATTGTTGCCATTTCTAGTTCGGCATTATGAAGATTTTCATTTGTTTTTAATGTTCTTTGTTCTGTTGGACGAGCATTTGTTGGTCTTTTAAATCTATATGCTGCAACATCAATTTTTCTTGTTTTGAAATAATTTACTTTACGTTTATTTCCTAATTTGGCGTAGTATCGTAAAATATCGATAATATTATACATCTCTGTTTGCCGATGGCCTTTTTTTTCTTCTTCAATAATTGACCAGCTTTCGTTTTCGTGCAGGTCATATGCACTGTCTTCGGTCTCTTCTTTGACATCTTCTGTTTCACACGGTGGAGACAGATCTTTAAAGTTTGTGTTAACTGAACTCTTCAAAATACTTTTCATCTTGTGGGACGTTGTTTGGTGCTGAGATCTTCACGTTAAAAACGACCAGTTCAAGAATAAACTTAATCAATTAATAGTCGTTGGGCTAAAAGAAATTATTCTATTTCATTTTACACTATTTTTCTCTTTACTCAAGGAAAACTGCTTATTATTCTTCTATAATAGAAGATCTATTTCTTTCTTAAACCGAACATGCGTAGATAAGAACTAACACCACTTTGGAAAAGCTATAATACACTATCGAGTTATTTAGATCATATGTTGCATTGACGATTTTTATGTAATGCGTTATATAAGTGTTTTTTTTTGTTTTTTTTAAATTCATATGAACATACTCATACCTTTCTTATCGAAAAAATAAAGAATCACATTAATGTAACATACTTTAAATAGATTCATCTAATTGACATTAACAGAGGCCTTGAATTCTTCTTAATTATATGATTTTTGGTATATTAGTTATGCCTCCTAAACGCATGAGAAAACTATTTTTTATTTAGTATTTCTTTTAATAAACACTATTTAAAATAACAGCCGAATTCCACATTATTTTATTTTATTGAAATGCTCGTAGATTTATAACCCATAAATCTAGCGCGACATTTGATAGCTCATTTCAAAGTTTATTAAATGAGCTTTCATTTCACTATGCCTAATGATTTTTGAACATTAAGAGTATTTAACATTGGCCTTTACCTCGCGCGGGCTGATTATCGCGTATGGAGAGCGTCCCACCGGTGGCAGATGTGGGGATGGTCGATGGAAATTGCTTAGGAGTTCCTCTCGGCTAAGTCCGATGGTCTCGCTGACCAGCAATGAGAGGGAACCTCCAGACTTGCTGGAGGATTTGACGTAGGGTTGTACCTATCGCGGAGCAGAATGTGGATCGAATCATGAATTAGTAATCGCGAAACTTCGATAAAACGTAAATGTTAAAGAGAGAAAATAAAACCGTTTCGATTTTGAGAATTTTAATTTGGAAAAATTAATAAATCCATCAATTAGAACCCAATTCGAGCTAGATGTTAAGAATAGGTTTGAAGTTTTAGAGCTTTCTGACGAGGACCGCGAGAATATTGACGAGTTGTGGGTAGAATATTAAAGCGATTGGTAACTCGTGTATAGGAAAAAAGGAAAATAAGAACAACAAACTGTGCTTTGATGAAGATTTCTTAAATATGTGTGAAAAAATAACAGCCGTTAAATTAAAAGCTCTAAATAATCCTAACGAAGGCAATCTGGAATACTTCCGAACCTCAAAGATTAAAACGACAAAATTGCTCAAAAAAAAAAAAAAAAAGGGAGTATCTTAAAAATAAAATATATATTTTTTTTTTATTCATTGATATTTACAACTGTATTATAAAAAAAAATACAACTAGTGAATGTGCACACAGTAATAATACAATCACATGAAAATGCATGTTGAGAAACTACCCATTGGTAGCACTCTAATAATATATTTACACAAGTAGATCACGAGGCCATTTTCTTTTCAGACGCCTCGGAGGTTTATCAGGAATCAAGGAAGAAGCAAGGTTTGAAACGAGATGATTCGGATGGTTCTGGAGTTTGTTATGGAAAGATAGGTATCTGGATTGAGCCAATAAAATAATTGAAATAGAAACTAATAGAATCGAAAATAACGTCTGTAATTAGGGATGAAAATAACAACATTCCGACCGATCCGGTTGACATATTAAACAAGTTTAAGAACCACTTTGAAAATATTTTAAATACGGGAAATTAAGATCTGTGTCCTCCTTCTGAGTACCAGAGTGCTGAACCTTTAATAGAAGAACTGAGCAAAGAGGAAGTTGAAGTAGCTATCGGAAAATTAAAATCTTATAAATCAGCGGGAATCTATAATATTCCTACTGAACTAATTAAGGCATGCGGGGAAGCTGGAGTTTCTAAAATACATTGGTTGGTTAAAAAGATCTGGGAAAATGAGAAATTACCTAAAGAATGTATACTGGAATATTCTTATTCTGATTCACAAAAAGGGCCCGAGGACGGATTGTAAAAACTATCGAGGAATTTCACTCCTTCCGGTATGTTATAAAATATTCACTTTAATCTTAACTAGTATAATCACGGAATACGCCGAGGAAATTATTGCAGACTAACAATGCGGATTTAGACAGAATCGTTCGACTATTGATCAAATATTTTCTTTACGGCAAATATTAGAGAATAAATTAGAGTACAACGGTATTGTTTACCAGCTGTATATCGATTTCAAAAAGGCTTACGATTCTATTGACCGCCAGAAACTATATAATATTCTAATCGAGCAGGAGGTTCCAAAAAAACTAGTAAATCTAGTCAGGATGTGCATGACGGAAACACTCAATAAAGTTAGAATCGGTAATAATCTGTCGGAAAAGTTTTAGGTTCGTTCGGGTTTAAAACAGGGGGATTCTCTTTCGTCTGTCCTGTTCAATTTGGCAATAGAACATACTATTAGGGAGGTAATGCGTACCGAAAAAGAGTTGGATCTGGGTGGAACAACACCCGTGCAGAGCTATCCAGTTGATTTAGCCCTCTTTTGTGAAGACACGGAAACTATAAATCTAAATATGACAATGCTAATGAAAGCCGGTAAAGTTCAGGAGCTCGAAATAAATACGGATAATACAAAATATATGGTTAGCTGCAAAAACGGCGACGATTTCGGTGTTATCGAAACAGAGAGGAATATGTTTCAAAACGTAAAGAAGTTTAAGTATTTAGGGTCTACAATACATTTTTAAAAAAATCAAATTGAGGAGGCCATTTAGGTTAGGTTTAAGGCAGAAAATACTCGTTATTTCTCTGTGACGAAACTATTCAGCTCGCGCATCTTGTTCCAAATCTTAAAATTATAATTTACTTTACCTTCGGTTCTTTATGGATGCGATACGTGTCTGCTTACATTAAGAAATTGGCAAACGTCTTCAGGTTTCCGAAAATAAATTATTGCGTAGAATTTTCGACCGAAGAAGGATGTGTTAACCCAAGAATTTCGACGGTTGTCCAACACCGAATTGCGTGAACATTTAAGATAATTGAAGTAAAGTACATTGCGGTGAATAAAATATGTATTTAGAATAGATGGGCTTAATAATAAAAGAATCCCTAAAAGGCTACTATTTGCTGTGTCGACTGGTAAATGTCCAATGGATAGACCGAAGCGAAGATGAGAGGATTGCGTCAATACTGATTTGGCGGGGACGCGTATAAATGGCGACCAGCGGGACGAGGTCTGAAGATAACGACTGGTGGTGTTGGCTTTGAAACTTCGAGTTTGCTATTAATTACATTAATAATGATGATTATTATTATCATCATTAATAATCATTATTACTAATAATGATTATTATTAAGTATTGTGTAGAATATTTTGACACAATTATAAATTATAAAATCGAAAACTATCACGGGTACGAATTGCACTGTTTGACGGACCAGAGCCAAACCTGTATCCGGTATATATAGTTCAGTTGATAGCATTGCAAAAAATAAAGTGAGCGTGTAAAATTAATGGGTTTAGTAACGAAGGAATTCCTAAAAGGACTATTAAAAAACTATGTGCCGAGGATAGACCAAAGCAAAGAAGGGAGTGAATGTACCTCAAAAACTGCACCGTAAGAAGAAGAGGGCATGGGAACGGAAGCATCTTGAGAAGCATCAATCTGGATTTTTTAATCAAAATATCCATGAAAGTAGAGCATCATTTATGCCATAGGTCAAGGCATGTAGGAGCGAGGATGGATCTATGATGAGGAGGATGATATACTGGTCCGGTGGTCTAGTCACTTCGATATGCTCTTAAACGATGATGTGGGAAATCCAGATGATTTTTGAATCACAAGTAGGGAAAATTATGAGTGCCCTCCTGATCCACCGAGATATGATGACTTCGTTGATGCTGTAAACGGCCTGAACAACAATAAAACTCCTGGGGAAGTTAGGATATCAGCTGAACTTCTGAATCAAGATATTGAAGAATTTCCAAAAGCCCTCTGCAACATAATTCTCATCTTTAGAATTGACTAAATAATGCATAACCAGTGGAAGAAGGTTATTATATATCCGCTGCAGGAGAAGGATGCTATTCTGGATTGCTCCAATTACAGGGAGATTACGCTTCTTCGATACACATCTAAATTTCTGTCATATATATGAAACTGCTCCAATTTTCTGAGAGAAATTGGCTGGAATCAGGATGGTTTCAGAAGGACTAGGTCTATGACTGATCAGATATTCAGCATTAGGATGATCCTAGAAATATCACACGAGTGCTGGAAGATTATCCACAATATCTTATGACAGTATAAAACGGGCTGCTAAAAAGTTTTGTGCAGCACTGCTAAATGGGAATACCGTTGAAACTTCTCCACCTAATCTGGATGACAATAGATGACGCGAGGTGCGCTGTTAGGGTACAGTCAGTTATTTCACCAGAGATTGTTTCCGCAAGAGGGTGATGGCCTCGCCTATCTGCTATTTAACGTAGCTTTAGAAATAGTGATACGTAACTCGGGAATACAAACAATAGACACTATCTTTAATAAATATATTGAAGTAGTTGGTTATGCAGATGATCATAGACTCTTTTCAAGATCACTCAAAAGTGAGTAACGGTTAAGGCTGCTAAAACAGCCCACACAAATAATCATCAAAGTCAAAACGGCTTTAAATTACAGAAAAAAATAATTATTTTATTTTGGTGGGACCTTATCGAGTATGCCGTTCCATACTGAGTGGTCGAAATTCAACAGTGATCTATTGGAAATTTGGGGAAAACATAAATGAATTTGCATGTATTATGACAAAAAAAAAAGGATAAATAAAAAGATAATAAAATAATTTTTAATAAATATAATTTCTTATTGGAATTTTTACTGATTGGGCGCCTGGCTTTAATCTCTAAAGAGATTAAATATAAGGTACTTACCCATTATTGGCCATAATAAAACGTTCATGCTATCGTACTAGTTCAGGCAAGGAGTTAGGTTGAATTTTTTTATAAAGCAGCAACAAAAAGGTATTTCAAGTTAGGAGATGTATTTACAAAAACAAAAATATTTACAGAACACTATGTGCAAGCGAAAGCATTAAAACAAAAGGGAAGAGAAAATTCAAACATAATTACTATATACAATTTAAAGATAATAGAAATAAGATAAAAATAAAAAGATACTTATTCTATGTACAATAGTATGGTATACAAGAAATCGATAGTGCAGAGCACATGCACATGCTAAAATCTAGGAATTAAATAATCAGTCTCAGGAAACTTCATGAAGTTGGACAACGTCACATTTTATCTGGCGTTAATGGAAACGAAATGGCTGATAGACCAGCAAAAGAAACTGTGACCCTTCCATGCCGCGGTTAAGCTTTTTTGACACCATCTGAACTTGCACGACCTCTAAGAGAAACTATATCCCAAGAATGGTAAAGAGGGTGGGACAACAGCACACCTAGCAAATTAAAGACAATAAAGAAAGAGGTGCAACTGTGGAGCAACTCCAAACGCAGCAGTCGTAGAGTTGACCTTAGGCGGCTGAGGATCGGACATACCAGACTGACACACCTCCACCTCATAACAAAAGATCTTATCCCCAGATGTCAAAAGTGTGACCAGTCGTTAACTATAAAACATGTTTTGGAAGAGTGCCCTTCTTACACTGCAAGGTTAAAATATCTCGGAATACCCCAGAATATATCAGAGAAACCAAGAAGAAAGGACTGCTTAAGTTATGAAGTTTCTAGACAATGAAAGACTTATAAAATATATTGACAAATTTATTGCTAATGATCCCTTCCAGATTTTTTTTAATTTCATTTGTTTATTAATTTCAATTAATTTATTGATTTTATGCCTATTTTTTTTAAGTTTATTTATTTATCTATTTCAT